ATCTATACGCTATAAGCGCTTTATGTCGCCAGTGATTTCACATTGTCACTTTGCGCCCGCGGTTGCCCTACCTCGATAACATCCATCCATCCAAACGTTATAATAATGAACACTTACCACAGCTTGTCTCCTGACGATATTAGCGAGGTATCTACCTCGCCGGGTAGCGGGTAGAAGTACACTACCCGCTTGGACATCTTCACCTCCCTACAATTATTATTCAGCGACATATTTGACGTCATCCACTGCAGTTGCAATAAATGACTTTTACTTTAGGTTGAAAACAACCTAATAAAAATTAGAGGTATTTTTTGACAGATAACATAGACAAAAAATGTTAACTAATATTCGATTGTTTTTTATAGGCAAAAGAAAAGCGGATCGCTTTTCATCCAACGGTCATAGACAACACAGATTAAAGGAACTACAGATTTTTTTAATGGTTTATGTTAAGAGTAAATATTTAAAAACATTTTTAATACTTACGGGCGTATAAGGGCATGTTATACTCTCAATTAAATAAAATAAAATAAATATGACAGCTTTCATAGCGACCACACTGGTAGAAAACCACAAACTAATAGTTATGTAAAATGTCTTTAAATACTGATAACTAACGAAGCAATTAAAATATTTTTATTGATTATTTTAACGAACTAGTTCCCAATTTATGTCAATTCGACAGTAGACCAGAAAAAAATCGCAATTAAAAAACCTTTCGTGACAAAACATTAAACAAAACAGACTGCCAAAATACACTTAAAATGAGATTATTTTTAAAAAACAGCACACTAAAAAGTACCGAAATAATTCCTTGAAAATAGTAAACCTCCCTTATTGTTGCTGTTATGTCTATATTGTACAATTATTATTACTTTAATGGTTATTTGGATGGATATTTGTTAGAAAGTATCTCGTAAACTGCTGAACGGATTTCGCTGAAATTTGTCACAGATGTAGACAACACCTGGAACAGAGTACTAATTATGTTTGCTTTTAATTCCGCGAAGGCGGAGTCGAGGGCGAAAAGTAGTAAATATATATATTGCTAGACTATTAAATATTTTCGTCAGATTTAGACTAAATAGGAGAAGGGTAAAGAAGGTAATTGCATCTATCATTTATTTAAAAGATCTTTGTATTTAAATCTATACTTATATATTATAATAAAGCGTAAACACACACTCCTTTGTTGCCTAAGATGTCAGCAATTACACCATATTTTTGAATAACTCTTCTTTTAATAAAAAGCCCTACACTTACATCACGCTTTAGGCTATATATTTTCACACCATTAATCTTAGGGGGTATATAGTTTAGATAAAAACCCTAATGTGGGAAAGAAACCATAAGTTGCTGCCAACATCAAGAAAGCAAGGTTGCCAAGGTTTGTCATGTCATTTTGACATTTGCTATTGATAATTTGACAAATGTAAACAATAATATTTTTTTATAATTTCATGCGGATGAAGCCGCACGGGCACAGCTATTATTTCCATAAAAAATACACAATTCAGAGGAATATTCTTTTAATTTATTAGAATTAATTTTCTACAATACAATAATCACTATAAAGATATAGTTTACAAATACTTTTTAAACATACCAGCCTTTTAACGAAAAATAACCTAAAAGCTAAAACATAGTGTTGTCAACTCTATTACAAATATTCCAGAACAATCAATAAATAAAACTGGAGTGTCTGCAAAATCGAAAAAAATAATAGCGTTATTTAAAACAAAAATCGCATTTTTTTATTTCCGTCAATAATTTTTTTGTGACATTACATATACTCCAATGTCATTTATCTGTGTAATTTAAAAAAAACATTGTCTATAATAATGATTAATAATTATTTCAATAGGTTTTCAAATAATCTGGAATCTTAACTCTATTTTATTATTGTAATATGGCAAGCTTTTTGACATGTGTCAAAAATGAACGTTCCGTTTTCCGTATGTTTTCATATCATAGACCAGTGATTCTCAACTTTTGTGCGCCGACAATTTTTTATTATTAGCTTGAAATTATCTATACTATTATAATAAAGCGTAAACACACACTTCTTTGTTGCCTAACATGTCAGCAATTACAGCATATTTTTAAATAACTTTTTTTAATAAAAAGCCCTACTTACGTTACGCTTTAGGATATACATTTTCACACAATTAAATTTAGGGGATAAAAATCCTAATGTGGGAAAGAGATCATAAGTTGCTGCCAACATCAAGGAAGCAAGATTGCCATAGTAATTGGTTTTTTGACATTTGCTATTGATAGTTTAAATGTAAACAATAAAATAAAATATTCATAATTTCTTGCGGACGAAACCGCACGGGAACAGCTAGTCCTAGTTACTATTGTAGTATATATCAGTATATTTCGTATATTTGTAATTTTTATCAAACTATGCAATGTAGTAAGTAAATCATTTTTATCTTTTACTGTGTGCCAAATTTTGAAATAGTTAAATATGTACCTTAACAAAAAAAGTTTGAGAATCTTTGTCATAGACAATCGAGTTTTTTTTGACAAATGTATTTAAAGAGTTGACAACTTTAAACTTAAGACTATAGTAATTGAGAAAACTTATTTTAATTTGAGAGCTAAAAAGTCACTACATATATAAATTACGGGCAATAGTTTGTCTAAATAAGATAGATTAGTTTGACAATTCATTTGACAATTAGGGATGGGTTGTGTAAAATCAGTCATGAATCTTATCGATTTCCGATTTTTATTCTTATAGAAGTTGGTATCGATAGATTCATAGTTATATCTTTTGGATTAAAATAAAATAACACTGTTTTCTCAAAATATTAATAAAACTACAGAACCATTACAAATAATGAGAATAAATAAATATTTACTACTACAGCCGTACGTAATCGTTTTGGATTTCGCTATTATTGTCATCGCTACATTCTCTACACTATAATACTAGAATTGTCCTATAAATTAGTTAATAAAATAATAATTTTAGTTGAGTTCGATAATTTAAACCGAATATCGATAGTTGCTAATTGTCCGCTGCGTGTTTCGTCACTACGATACCTGTCTAAGTACGGTTTCCTTCATACAAATTGAATTCGATACTTCATACGTCATTTATCAAACTAATCTATCTTATTTAGACAAACTAGTATATAGTTTTAGTCCAATTTTTTTTTAAGCACTATATATTTATTCCTAGTTTGAGACTTGGATTAAAACGTAATTTTTTTTACCATTCTCTTTTTAAATATTGTAAATTGTTTTTCAAATCAATGGAAGTCAATTTTTTAAATAGCGGCCATGATGTAGTCTTGGGTAGTACAAGTACGATGTACTAATAAGTACTCGACACTGTACTATTAGTAACGTTACTGAACGGCTTCTGTTAATCGGACATTTGGCATTTTACACTACACTATATCGGTATTTGCTTCTCCGTTGTTTGATTTGATAATATTTGCCAGATTGAAACATCTACCTTCAGTTATGAATCAAAAGTGGATAATATTTATAACTTAAATTTATTTTCGCTAATAATATGAACATTCTTAAAGATGTGAAGTAATCTATAGATCTCGTTATATTCATGTTATTGTGTTCTCACATCTGAAGTACTAAATGTACTAAGTGTACTAGTACTAGTCTTGGGTAGTACACGTACGATGTACTAAAAAGTAATGTTACTCGGCACTGTACTAAAAGTAACGTTACCGAAGGGCTTCTGATAATCGGACATTTAGTACTTTTAGTACACTACACGATATCGGTGTTCGCCTTTTTGTCAGATTGAAGCATCCACCTTCGATAATGAGAATCAAAAGTGGATAAAATTATACATAACTAAATTTATTTTCGCTAATAACATATGTTTGACCCTGCTTAAAATTTTATGTGAAGTAATATATAACCCTCGTTAAATTCTATTCATGTTGTGTTCTGACAAATATGAAGTACTAAATGTACTAAGTGTACTAGTACTTTTTCCCAAATGTACTAGTACGATGCGGCATATGTCCGATTAAGCCCAAGACTAAAATGATATATTATTTTGTGTTGGTGTTTCAGTACAATTTTATATATTTTTATGTTAATTTACGACAAATATTAATGTTTTAAGTCGATATAAAATTATCTCACTTTGGACACTAGATGTAAAAACTAATTTACGAATTTAAAAAATGCTAATCTTATACAAATAAATACTACTATAGATAAATAAACATAAATTAAGTTTTTCGTCACATTTGACATCACTACGTATTAAAAGTAGACACGGCAATTATATACAGGGTGTTCGGCAATAAAGTACAACAAAGTACAAAAAAATCAAAAATAATACAATTTGAAGGCTGCTAAAAACAGTTCTGAAATCCAGTTAAAATTGTGTGGCAAGAATTTAACTAAACAGTTAAACTGAAAGTTAAAATTTTTGCTTAACACGCAGTTTTAACGCGACATTTCAACTGTTCTATTCATCTGAGCGTCGTTGGCTCAGTGGTTTAAGCACTTGACTTGTAATCTACAGGTCTTTGGTTCGAATCCCGCTGCACCAATGTGATTTTCGAATTTTCCTATGTACAAATTTACCCGACGTTCTTACGGTGAAGGAAAACATCGTGATGCCTGCATATATCGGCGAAGAAATTCAAAGATATGTGTGAAGTCAACCCGCAGTGGATCAGTGTGGTTGACTATGTCCTAGTCATCCTAACTTAGGGCAGGCTCCGAGCCCCTCGGTGGGGACGTATAGTGAGCTGGTGATGAATGAAAATGAATGGTCAGAACTTCGCGTATATCACAATGTTTCCCAACAATGATTATGCCATGCCCCTTTACATTACTAAAAATTAACCCCCATACATACTTTTCAACATTAAAACGTCCACAGTAACAAAAAATAATTCTAAACCTCATAACTGTTTAGAGCAATGAATTGTCTTTTTTTATAAAAAATAATTTAATAAATTTTTAAATTTCCCCTTATGTTATCCAAATTTGAATATAAATTAACTCTTTCTCAACTGTACTTTATATTTACTAGTACTCTGTACTCTGTAGTACACGTCATTCCCGAACATCCTGTATCCAAGCTACCAATTACAACCAATTATTACCACACTAAATGTCC